AATTATCTTAGTTGATTTAGTATTTTTTTACTTATTATTGAATATTGAAGGATATTTACTAAGTTCAATATTTATATTAGCCTTTTATCTATATATATTATTCATAATAAAAACTATAAATATTATTTAGTAGTTAGAAGAAGCATGAAAAAGAACCTCATGTCTTTTTAATTAATTATATAAAAAGTAGGATTTATAGTAGATTTAAATTTATTCTATTAATATAAATATCATAAAGATAGAAAATTATAGATTTTAACTGATATTAGCATTATAAAACTATTATCTGAATTTTTAGAATTTATTTAGAATTTATTTAGAATTTTTAAAGAAATTTAGAGAAATTTCCAAGATTTTGGTAAAAATAAATTTTGTCACTTTGGGAGCCATTATGAAAAAATGGAGCAAGATTTGAAGGCCATATGAGGTTCTTAGGCTAATTGGATATTTTTAAACACCATGATGAAGTCAAAAATGCAAAATTATGGATTTTACTAGTAGAAAATATGAGGACCACAAGCTAATGTAATCCTAATAGAAGAGAGATGCACAAGTCCTATATGGATTGCAGCACCTTGAAGATAGTTAGGAAGATAAGACTAAGGCCTCATGGCCTCTTTTAAGAATCTACATATATTACTTATGAGCCTTGGTGAGGCTCGAACTCTTGATTTCTTAAGCAAATTATCTTTGAAGTAAAATTATTTAATTATTATTTTTAAACCTTCATAATTTATTCATAGTAATTTGGATTTACATTTTTTTATACCATTAAAAAGATAAAAAAAAATAAATTTCTAAAAATATATTTTTACTTTTTATTTTTATTTTTTTAAGATAAAACTCAATAAACAAACTATGACTAATTTTATAATATACAATTACTTAATTGCACTTGTTTCATTCTTTTTTTTTTGAGTTTTGATCCTTTTGTCCTTGTTCTTTCTACTTCTACTTCTCACTACTAGTTACAAGCAACTTTTAGTTGAGGCCATCTTATAATTTAGGTTGAAGAGTGAATTTTACACTCACAAAGGCTATCTATTTTTAATTGTGATCTTATTGAGTCTTTGATAGTCCTCATACATCTATAGAGATCCATCTTTTTTCTTCACAAATAAGATAGAAATTCCAATTAGAAATTTAGAATAGAATATAAAGTTCTTATCCAAATTTTTATCAATATATTTTTTGAGTACAATCAACTTGTTCTGTGATAGGCTACAAATTGGTTTGAATGGTGGTTGAGCTTATTCTTGAAGATCAATGGAATAATCATAGAAATGATGTTCTAAAAGAATATCTATATATTTTTTAAAAAAATTCTTAATAAACTTTGTGTTGGCTTGAAATGCCACTTAAATTTTTTTTTCCATCAACAATAGGTGTGGCATATATAACAAAGGTTGACTCTACTTTTACAGCATATATAAAAGTTTTTGCACCTACCAATAATGGTTTGGATGTATTAATATTATAGTTTTTTTAATTGCTTAGTAGAATCTAGGACTAAACTATGAAATATATGAAAATCATAAAAAATTCAATCTATTTTAGGATTATTCCTCTTTAACCATGATAATTCTAAATTTATTTGATTAAAAGGAGATTTAATCATATTAAATATTACAAAACTATTATAACCACTGGTTGCTACTTTAACAAGAATATTTTTATGTAACATCTCCAAATAACAATGAATGACCATCTATTACTTCTACATGCATAAGTTTGGTTTTCTTAATTAAAAATATATATATCTTTTTGACAAAATATTTGTCTATAAAACAAGCTAGACTTCTGAATACAACAAGGCGAAGACTTTGTAATTTTTTGGTCCTAAATATACTTCTATTATAAAATAAGGTGATAGATCTAAGAAAAAAATATGACTTTTATTTGTAGTTGGATAAGATTTCAGCTGCATAGTGCCTATTGTAGCTAGAGAAAATCATTTTATGACACATCATCCTGTTTACCAATCATATTCTTTATTTTATAGTTGCATTTTTTCTTTAGGTAATTTTAAGCAATGTACTTAAGTATATAATATAGGTATAAACCTTCTTGATGTTAATGAGTCTTCTCTTACTCAATAAGATATTTAAAACATATCATATCAATTTATATTATTTTTGATCTTAATGAATAATTTTTTAAAAACCTAAGAATTGCCATCATTACTTAAGTTATTTTTCTTTAGCCAAATCTTTATTCTTGATATCTTTAAAATAATCAATTATTGCATGCAATGGGTTGAATAATAAATTTTTCTAAAGATTTTATTTTTGGCATTATCAATAACAAATATTTGATATTATCTTTCAACCAATATCAAGATTGATTGATAAAGGCTTTGTCATTCCAGTCTAAGTTGCATGCAAAGTTTTAGAATTCAACAATATTTATGGTAGTTGATAATGATCTTTATTGTAAAAATAAGACCTTGTTCTTTGCTACTCTTTTCCAATCACTTTCTCCAAATAAGGCCATAAAGACTTCAAGAAATGAATTAAAATCGTAAAAGAATCATAAATTCTTTTCCATCAAAGATGCAAATCAAGAGAGAGTACTTACAAATAAAATTACACCTATGAATATAACTTGAATAAATCCACCAAGATATTGGAAGGAATACATCTTAGATAAAACTTGAATTATTACAAAAATCTTCAAAATTTTGATCTTATTCCATCAAACTTCTTGGATGTACTAAACTTTGTCTCTGTCATATTTGTAAAAGCAAATTTTTTTGGTTTTGGTTGTAATATTGATCTACTTGCTTCCTTCAACTGAACAACTTCTTGACATAGACTATAAACTTCTTCTATAGGAGTATGATTAGTATTTCCATAGTTGGTATTGGTGATATATGGAATTTCCACTTTAAGATTGTTAATAAGTTCATGAAGATTTGAAATAATTACAAATCTATTTTTACCTCCATCAAGTAAAGCATCCATAGATTATTCTTTTATTTTAAATAACTTAAAAAATCCACAAATAAAATTAGAGGAAGATAATCCACAACCTTTAATGTTAAAAGAAAAAAAATCTTCTCTCTTTAAACGAAAAATCCAGTTATTAAAAATAAATTTCTTTTTTTGAAGGTAGATAATCCACAACCTTTAAAATACAATAATAGAAGTGAAATAATCCATTCACTTCTAAAAAAGATAAGAACAATGAGTTAATACTCTTGTTAAACCATCAAAGACATGAATCTCAAAAAAGAAATCTTCAATACATTCTTATGTCACTCAAAAGGACTAAAAAATCACTCAAAGATGATATAGTATTAAACTAAAATGGCTATTATGAAAGATAAAAAGACTAGAAAGTCTTAAATTAAGAGTAAGGATTAGAAAGGCGTTGATAAAAGTAAAGAAGGCTTCATTCTTGCCTCCATATATAATCTTAACTAGGAGCTATGTGGCAATGTCCTATAGGACCTCTAAAACGTGTTGACTTTGCAAGATATATATCATAACTTGCAAGGTAAGTTTTTTATATGTGCGCTACAAAATTAGCTTGTTTTGTAAGCTATCAATCTGTACTTAATTTGTTAACCAAGTTTCTAGCCTACGAATTAACTACAAGCACATATAAAATCAAAGCACCATCTATGAAACTTCTAGAAAGCTTCTCTAAAAAATATTATGAAATAAATTTATTTTTATCTACTTCTACTTAATGACATAGATAAATATTAGAATAAATATGTATATCCATGACACTTCTATTGAATTTTATTAAAACACCATGTTATTTTTTCTTATTTTATTAATATATATATATATATATATATATATTATCCTCAAGTTTAGTAGTACTTATTTTTTTTGTTTTTGTTTTTATTTTTTGTATAAATCTTATTACCATGTAAAATCTAAACAATCACAATCACTATAAAGCAATTATTCTATTATTTAAGCTTTTGTATTTAAATTCGTAGATAAGATGTATAATAGGATATATGTAGATAAGATGTATAATAAGATAAAATAATGATATGCTTAAAGTTTTAATAATACACTTCAACAATCTATGTATGTATGTGTATATATGTATATATATATATATATATATATATATAACATGCCATTATGTTTACCTTGTTGCACATTTCAACTAAGCATTAAATTTCTCATTCAAGATTTTGATATGTTAACTAATTTATATTTCTAATTATTGCTTTAGAAAGATACTTTGAAATTGAAAGTAATTCATAATGATTATTGCCATAATAAAATATATTTTAAGCTCTAAGTATTTGATAAATCCAAAAAAATAATAAAAATAGTTAAGTCAATCTTATTTAAACACGTGACATTTGGCAATGTTTTATGTCTTGAATATCTATTCACATAAAAGTACTCACATGGCAACACTTGTGGTATTGAAAGAGTATAATTTTCCCCATAAGTAACCTTGAGGATAAAGTGTTGACTTAGGAAGAAAACATAATTTTAATATGGTTTTAAATACATGTGAAGAATTAGTACTGATGAAGTATGTGTTGAGTTTTTAACTTGTGGCTTCACATTCAGGTGGGGCTACAGGGACTACTAGGGAGAAAGGGTGACATGGCCGTTACACATCCAAACTGACCCGCGTCAGTTATCAATCGCAAAGGACTTCTCGAGGTTATCAACCTATCGGGAGAAAAGTTCAGGTTGTCAATCCATCGGGGGGGGAGATCGCAGGTTGTCAGTCCACGCGGAGGCAGGGCGGTTGTCAATTCCGAAGGGAACGTGGATTTAAATGAAAGATCTGCACGTGTTGTGGTATGAATTGGGCAGAAACCAGTCGCCTGTTGTCAAAATTTGAATTTTGGTTTTCGGAACGAAAAAACATCAAGAAGCACCGGAAAGTGACGGTTACGGACGAAAAAAAACCTCCGCTCGTCAAATTTCCCGCTCTTTCGACAACGTTCCCGCTCTGAGCTGGGCCCTTCGTTCAAACTCGGGTGGACGAACCCTGCGGCTATGGTCAGGCCCCTCTTCTCGGTGATGGCCATGGCGTGCCCACGCTCATAGTGCGTTTCGTCGCGAAGTGCTGCTGCTGGTTGTCGCTGCCGCTGCATTGTCCTGGAGCTTTGTGACCTGATCTGGAAGCGTTCGAATCCAGTTATCATGTTTTGGCAATTTTTGATGTAGGTTCGAGGGTCCTCATGCGAGACTTATTTTTTGAAAAGTAACCGTTATTGCGCTTGCGGCAGGAACAAGTAATGTCTCCTTTTGGTGCGGGAGTGGTTTAGGAACAGCTTCAGGTGGCGATTGATGGTCTTTGTTGGAGGACTGTGTTTTCTCGGAGTTAGCACTGAGTGCATGTGGTTTGTGCATTGGTCATGGATTGATTTGTGTCGCTTTGGATGAGTATTCATGTTTTCTGGATGTCAGATTAGACGAGGTTGATTAGATTGCTGGAGCCTACATACCTCTTTTTATTTGGCTCTTACTCCGGTGTTGGCTTTACAGAGCTATTGATCCCTGAAGTATGCCGCTTCTGTTATTAATCGCGCGAGCTCAAGATAAAATCAATAGACGTTTACATCTGGTTTTAATCGCTGGCGATTGTCATGAGGCGTGTGGGCGCATAACAGGGTAGAGCAGGGATTAACACATACTTCTCTCACATTGGTAGCTCGGAGCTGCATTCTTAGAAAATGGCGCAGCATAGCCTGCGAGGTTGGCAAATAGAAAAACCTGCATTTGCAAACCAGTGAAATTGGATGAAGTGAGCTCTTATCGCGACGGAGAAGCGACGTACAATTTATGGTTTATTTCTGCGAAGGTGGAAGCAGGAGTTTAAGCACTCTAAGGTCTTTGTGGGTTTTCAGCGAATAGTGCAATATCCAGTGGGCAAACTGAACACAAGCATCATCCAGACTTTTGAGGGTTTTTTAGAAATGAAATCAGGTAGAAATTCGAATATTAAGGTTTGAAGTGATAGCGCAGCTGCATTGCACTTCAAGGAAACCTCGCGGGCATGACGTGTATTCAGATAACACCACTGCCTACCTGGAGTTCAACTTCTATTAGTTAGGTATGAACCTTGATGTGTAGGAGACAGCGCTGGACGGGGCGTTCGTGGAGTAACATTAGGCTGGAGTAGTCCACGCAGACAAACCTTGGAAGCAAGTGAGGAGAGTCACGAGTTCTTAGACAATGGCGCCAGTGTTCGTTATCCCGACTGCTCTACGGGACTTGGAGTCACCTGGAGAAAATGGGGAGCGTCTCTGCGCGCAAGAGTTCACGGATGTTGAGAATTTTTCTGCTGGCGAGATCAATGATCTTGTGAAAGGTACATCAGTAGAAAACTCTGAAGTGAAGTGGTTCATGAATGTCCGAGTGCATCCTTTTAAAGCTCCCTCTAGAGGTTTATGAACGCCCAGTAATGTCTTGGAAGTAATGAATCATCTTAGACGTCATTCTAACTGAAGACATATCTTATACAATGGCAGAATGGGAAAATTATGTATCAGTAGGTGCCACACAAAAATTTGTGAATGGAAGTACTGCTGGGAGTTTTAGATGGAACATATGAACGTGTAACCTACAATTTCCCAATGTGGAGTTCTTATCTAGGAACGTCTAAAGGCGTAGCCATATTGAAACTGAGTATCTTACCAACAAACTTTTTCAGTCACGTAGCATCTAGAAAACTTGAAATCTGAACTGAGAACTACATCACTAGAGCCTATGATTCTAATCACCTGTCCTGAACTTCTAAGTGCTGGAACTAACTAACAGAATGTACCACCGCTGAAGTGTTTGTATGTGTCTCACATCGGAGGCACTCTCGCAAATACCTTTGGTTGTGTCGATGGGAGTTCGTTACCTCAATGAGTGGTATTAGTAAATTGGCGTTCAATTCTTCCTGGCAGGAGTGGCGTATGCGCTGGCTGAGAAGGAGGTGTGCTGTATTGAGGAGCAGTACATATTTGATCAAGTTTACTCCCTTGTCAGGTTGGACTTACTGCGGAACACTGTTGTAATGAATCATGGGCCTCTGAAACGTCCAACCTGTTTTCTGCTTGTTTATGTCTTCGCTAGATTGCATAGTGAATCTTATTCGGCATGCACTACCTTTCCCTTTGTATGGGCGTGATGTGCTGTGTTTTAGACGGACTCATAATTAGAAAATGTTTCTGCCTGAGATCAATTTTTAGACGTTATATTTCAACTTGTCCCAACATCGAGTAACCATCTTCTAAATCTCAGCTACACTTTACAGTAAGGTAGGATTTTGTTCAGTTCTCTTGTTCTTAACAGCTCTTTGCGCCGCCGAAGATTGAAGGTTTTTGTTTTCATGATGATAGGGGATTTTCTTCCTTAGATTCATCCGCCAGAGGGAGCTTGGTCGAGAGCCTATGTTCCAACTTTGCAGTGCTTAACCCTTCAATTACGGCGCTTTCATATGCTTCGAATGAATCAAGCGAGGATGCTGCGTATATGCTGCAGCAGATGCAATCGCACCGGAATGCTCTCAAGATCTACACTTACTTCTTGCACTCCATTCTCGTTGTGGAGGAAGCTGCAGAGGTGGAGTCGGTGGCGAAACCTCCTCCAAAGGTATAATACGCTGTCAATGTGGAAGCAGTGGGAGGCAGTGTCTGTGGGACAGGGAGTGCTTCTACTAACTGAATATTAGGAAGCTTCGTATTTCTTTGTTTCGGCATTGTATTTTTATTATAAAATTACTTGTCTAATGTCATTTGAGAATTCCAACGATCCTGAGTTACTGATTACTTCCTGCTCGGATTTTGAACAGGGTAAGAAGTCACAGCCTCGAAGAGCACATGTACCTGCTAAGTGGAACTGGGATGTCCACAGGATGCGCATTGTTCGCCTTCTTGCCACTGCATTGCAATTAGATTTGCGACAGCTTTACTCAATGGCACAACCTGAGGACGATTTGATCGCCTTTTTTTCCAAGTTAGTTTTGCCTGCTACCTTGAACTTGATTTAGCTGTTGACAAATACAATTAACTATTTTGGTGGATATCATTCTCCAAAAGTTCAATCCTGGAGGACTATTTTGCATACGATCTTGATTGCTCTCTTAATTTTGGCATGCGTTCAAAAATCTGAATATCATGTCTACAGTACGCTATGAAAGACTTTCTTTGCGGTTGTGAATTGAGGTTCATTGGTATGTCTGCAGAGCTGCTTTTTCACTGCTGGAGAAACCAGCGTACGTGAAGGAGAAGGATTTAAAAGATGCCTTGTGCAACATCGTTGCAGCCTGTGCAGCCAAATATGATTATGTCGTACCTGTTACTTCTACTATCTTGAATCTTCTCCACAAGCATGAGCATTTATCAGTTTATCTCGCAGAGGTCGTTGCCCTTGCCGAGGAAAAGTATCACAATAGTAGTCTGCCTGTAGCTGTTTTAAGAGAAATCGGACACATTGATCCTGATGACTTCAAGCGCGATAACTCTGGAGCAGATAGTGTAAGCTCTTTCTTAGTGGCAATGGCAGAGCGGTTGCCTAAGCTCATGACCGTGAACCTTAGTATCATCACTCCGCATCTAGACGGCGAATCTTATAAAATGCGCAATGGTATTGTGCAAGTGATTGGTACACTGATCATTAAGGCCTCCAAAGACCCTTCTGTGGATGCCGTTGGAGATGAGATGGCCCGTCTCCGCAGCAAGCAGGTAAATCTACATGGATATGGAAGTATTACTTCAGGTGCCCTCAACATTTGTATATTGTTTTGAATATAGGAATTTTCTGCTCGTTGCCCGTCTCCTCAATTATTCGTATTCTGCTGGACTCGTTGAAACCATAAAGTTGTCGCCATTGTGCAGGGAATGGTTGATATTCTCTTGGAGCGTGCTAGAGACAAAAGTTCCTACACTCGTAGTAAAGTCTTACAAACTTGGGCCAACCTTTGCGTGGAGAGTGCTGTTTCTATTGGTCACTGGAATCTGGTCGCCCATGTTGCTGCTGGGAGGTTGGAAGATAAAGGGGCTATTGTGAGAAAGAGTGCACTTCAGTTGTTGACTACTTTACTCCAATTCAATCCCTTCGGTCCTAGTCTTCGAATTGGCCCCTTCGAAGCTACACTTCAGCAGTACAAGGAAAAATTAAAAGAAATGGAACTGGCATCCTCAACTGCGAATGAGGCGGAAACTCACTTGGCTGAGGCAGAAGGCGGTTTGGACGGGAAAGTCCTTTCAGAAGAAGGGACTGCGGATCCGGTTGAAAGCACCCCTGGCACGCAATATGTTGACTCATCTCAGGTGCATCCTTCAGAAGCAACAATTGATGAAATGCGCTACTACATAGCTTGTGTCTTTAATACACTTACCGTTGTTTCCTCTTTCTACTCGTCATTCCTTTTTGCGCCTTAACATCTAGTTCAGCATTTTTAAGAAGCCCAGGCAATTCTCGTACAAAGTCGTTTAACTAGACTTGCTGATCTTCCATTGATGCAGGTCGAGCCTTATGCCCCTACTCCAGCAGATATTGGGGGACTCGAACAAACCAGAACACTCGTGGCTTCCCTTGAGTCGGGGTTGCAGTTCACTCGATGTATTGCAGGAGTTATGGATGTGCTTAAGCAGCTCCTTGCTTCGTCATCTTCAGACGATGTTAAGCATGCAATAACTCTCCTAATACTAGCTCGCCAGTTTGAAATTGATGGTGCTGAAGAGAGTCTACGCACGATGCTGCCTCTTGTACGTTTCCCCGACGCTTGACCCCTTGATGTAGTCGTCCTTGATGTCTAGACCCAGCTGTTTGTTTTAGTGGACAACAGTGTTGTGCGGTGGTGGCGAATGTGCCTAAACATGGGGATGTGAGTATGCTTCACATATATCCTAACTCTGCGATAAAACTACTGAATCTTCTAATTACCAAGAACCGCGTTAGTATTTCGTATAAAAATATCCTCAAAATATTCTCTTCCTCATAGTGCAGTTGTTTTTGAACTGCATAAGTAGTCGTATGAGCTTAATCTGTTAACAAGAAGTAAGGCTGTCAGGTTGTTCCAACCTCCTCTTCTGTCTAGGAAGCCCCAAACAATTTGTTTTTGTACTGTACATATGATTGTGCTTTGTTGGTTATCCCAGGTCTTCTCTCAGGAGAAGAGTGTTTACGAAGCTGTTGAGGGAGCTTTCACCAGCCTCTATATGAAGCGAAGTCCATCTGAAACAGCTCTGAATCTGATAACCCTTACGCTGGACGCAAGCATCGGGGATCTGGCTTCAATTGAAGCGCTTGTAAGCAAGTTCACAACGAAAGGAGACATCTCTCATGGCACGGTATTGGAGGCTTTGATTTCAATTCTTTAATTGTTGTGTTTTCAATGATGTCTATAGTATTACCAGGCATTCACGTACATTTAGCTCATTAGATTTTTTTTGTTTCTCATTGGATGGCTTAACGCAGGTGGCCGCCCTCTGGAACTGCTTCACGTTCAATGCTCCTGATATTACACCACAGAAAAGCCGAGGCGCTCTAGTTATTTTGTGCATGGCCGCCAAGTCACAACCTCGTATAATTAACTCTCATCTTCAAAGTGTGATGGATATTGGACTGGGTCGACGTGCCAGAGAAGACCCTCTACTTGCAAGATATGCGTGCATTGCGCTTCAGCGTCTTTCTGATGATGATAGGGTTGGCCTTGGATATAATCACAAGATCTTCAGCATCTTATCCAGTTTGATCATAGGACCAGGTGAGTTAAGCCAAATTTTTCATCTAGACAAGCAAATGTCTCTGAAGAGCATGGCTGCGAGGTCGTTTGCATTTCAAGTTCAAGTGCGAACTCTGACATGTTCATTTGAAGCAATGGTTGAGGTGTGCATGTGTGTGGGTGTATGTTTGTCGGTTTGTGTATATATAGCGGATTTACAGCCTGATTTTGGATTGTAATTTACTGATTTTGTTAAGTACCTCCAGAATACACGGTTTCCTGTAAGCTCTCCTACTAGTCATCAATTTGTTATCAAGTAGCAATACATTAATCCAGGTCTCATCCTTCAAGCTGATTAAGATGATACTTTGATCAGGTTTACCTGAGGAGGGCTGGTACTCCGCTGCAGAGCAAGCCATTAATGCAATTTATTATCTTCATCCCACTCCAGAGAAGTTCTGCTCAGGACTACTCTTTAAGTTCTGTAAGTCTGTGTTCGGTTCAATCGAAAAGAAGCCAGATGAATCTTCGTCTCTTGAAGATCCAACGACCTCCGAGGACAGAGTTTCTGGGATTCCTGCAAGAGTGGAGTCGGATAGACTTGGACCGAAGGCTTCTACCCTTAGCCGTTTCTTATTCGTGTTGGCGCATATCGCTCTAAAGCACCTTGTTTATGTTGAGTCCTGTGTTCGTAAAGTTCGAAAGGTAAGGGCTGACAAAGAGAAGGCCGCAGCAGATGCGGCGGCTGATTTGCAAGCTAGTGGCGACCTAAGTGCCTCTCAGGAAGCCAGTATTAAATCCAAGGTTGGAACTTATATAAGTTATATAAACCTCTTTGCATTGCCTGTTTATTTCCAACAGTTGCTTTGCGGAAAGTACGAATTGTCTGACTTTCTTTGGCTCTCCTTATTATGTCTTGATCTGTAACACCTGAGTGTCTCTTGCTTACATCTTCGATCTATTTACGTGTAATAGTCAAGGAGTCAGTACTGGTGTTATGAAACTGAATCTTTCACTGCATTCTATTGGACTATATTCTAAGTGGCTGAAAGTCCATTATTGGTACTTAGCGAAGTCTTTCTCTTTATTGATTTTGAAGTGTCACTTCGTGCCGATTGGTTCACCAACTTGAAGGTTTAAAATGGTTTAGGTTGAGAGCATCGATGCGGAATTGGGATTAGCAGCTTCGGAAGATGCGAGACTAGATTCTCTAATGGAGAAAACTGAATTTGAGATAATTTCTGGTGAAAGCAATCGAAAGTTTCTCATTGGTGCTATGGCTCCCATTGTTGCCAAAATTTGCCGTAATTCGAGCCTCATGCAGCAGGTATCCTCACCTGCTTCACAAAACCTTGTTTCATTCTGCTATACTCTGAACCAACTCGGTCAGTAAGCTACTAAAACTTCAACTTGATACGAAAGACTGTAATGGACCGTGTTGTTTCTGTGTACAGTATCCACGATTGCGTACCTCGGCCATGCTTGCTCTTTGCAAGCTCATGGCTATTAACGCAGATTTCTGGTATGTAATTTTCTACTTCCTCCCTCAAAAGTTCTATTAACTTAGCTGACTTTTATTCGTTGAAGGTGGTATTCGAGTTTCTCTTCTTGTTGTGATGTTCAACGTAATTCTTTTAATCTTTTCAGCAGGTCCCTGTTGGCTTTATTTTTGCATGCCATTTTCTTTCTATTTCGAATTTTGCTGTTTTCATTGTACCTTCTTATTCCTCAACCTCAGCTGTACTCGCTAATCAATGGAACACGGTCTACAAAGATATCAATTTTATCTTAATTAGGGCAACTAAATGTGGCTGGTTTCAATTCTGCAGTGATCAAAACTTACAACTACTCTTCACAGTGGCTCAAAGCTCAGGGGAAGCAGCAGTGCGCTCAAATTGTATTATTGCCCTGGGCGATTTGGCATTTCGCTTTCCTAACGTTTTGGAGCCGTGGACTGAGCACATGTATTCTCGCCTGAATGACAAAGATCGAAAAGTTCGAAAAAATGCAGTACTTGTTTTGACTCATCTAATCCTCAATGACATGGTCAAGGTATTGTTGTCCCTTTGTACTGTTCAACTTTGAATTCATCAGCTTGACGAATCTTCAATTTTTTACCAATACAGAAGTCACAGGTTATCGCTAGGTGTTAATCGCTTAAGAGACATCCCATATTTCTCTTCTTACTAATCTTTCTGAATTTCGCTCTAGAGTTTCTTTGTGTTCTTCTATTATAACTACTGTTCTGTTTCTTAATTAGGTGAAAGGGCACATAAGCGAGATGGTTTTGCGATTGGAGGATGAAGATGAACGCATTCAAAATCTTGTGAAGCTCTTTTTTCATGAGCTTTCGAACAAGGGTCAGTCTCTGTGACTATCGTCTGAGTTGCAAACCTTAATGAATGTTATGAGCGTTAGACATGAGTCGTTAAAACTGATGCACTGCCAATCGCGAATTCCTCGACTAGGCATAAGATAATTCCTGTTGTGATCTACTTCGGAAGCAGTGATAGTTTGTAGGTATTACACTTCAGGACTGCGTTGTTTTTCTAGTACACAGTCCCCAGACGAAATTCATTTTCTGTTAAGATTGAAGTGCGGATTTAATCAAACGAAGTATAATTTCTACTTTGAGTCTTAGCGTTTCAGTGCAAATAGTCCTCCGCTTGAAACGGCATATGACGAACTTATAACTTACTCGGTCATGTAATGATTGTACAGGAAATAACCCCATCTATAATTTGCTACCGGAAATTCTCAGCCGACTTTCAAGTCAGATGGAACTTCCGCAAGAGACATTTCGCAATGTCATGCAGTTTCTTATCAATGCAATCACTAAGGTGTACATATTGATGATGACTTTCATGTCGATCCATTACTGATTTACCCAGTTTTCGTCGTTTTAGTTTTTCAAAATGTACTGACAAGTTTCATTCTGATTACAGGACAAGCAAAAGGAGGGGCTTTTTGAGAAATTCTGCCATCGTTTTCCCGGGACCTCCGGTAAGCTCTGAACATTTGCTGGGGTATTCCTACTACATCTCTTTGTAGTGATGCCAGCTCAAACTAAGTTCTTTTGTGCACTTGACGGCTGTAAAGAATGTTTTCATTTTCTTTCATTTAGATTCTGACCTTAGTGCGCGGAAATCATTCATTGTTTATTATGTCCTGAAATTCATTGCCCATCACAGCATATAGCTCCCAGCGACAAGTTCATGCCTGTTTACCACTTTGTATTTCTCCCAGGTCAGTTAGACCTACGTTTTCTGTAGTCGGTACATGTAATTCTGATGCTTTCTACATACATTGCGCAGATGCGAAGCAATGGAAGGACCTATCTTATTGCATGTCGCAGCTCACATACACGGACAAGAGCTTGAAGAGGATGATTGAACTATTTCCGAAATACCAGAACGCTCTTGGCGAAGAGGAGGTTGTTGAACACTTCAAAAGCATTATCGCCAAGGTATTTTGGTGCAAAATGTAAAAGTTGGTGTTTTTCAATTTTATTTTTTAGTACTCAACTTCCTCCTAAGTCTCTAATGTTGTTATAACGTGTTGGCAGGCAAAGAAATTCGCAAAGCCAGAAGTAAAGGCACTTGCGGATGACTTCGAATTAAGAATCTCCACTTTTCATGAAGAGAGGAAGGAGCATGACCTGGCTGTGCAGAATGCTCAGGCTCACCAGAGCAAATCTTATGTTCGTACAGATAATCCTCATGCTCAAGATAGTGGTCTGATTGGTGACCAAGACTGCGAAGAGGAAACTGAAGTGAAAAATATACGGACGCGTCGAGCGACAGCGCCAACAAACAATTGTTAGTGTTTTTTGATACTGTTTCACAACCAGCAATCTTCACCTTCGATTTTAGTGAGATAAATTTGCATTGTGGGGCAACTGCATGTGATGTTACGTATAGTATTTAATTCTCTTTCCAATCAAGAGCCGCATCGAACATTCAGGACAGAAATTCTTCAATTAGTTGTCAAAGCCTTCACAAACCTGCATTTCCCTTCTTGGCAATTGAGTTGTCACGGACGATTGAGTTGTCTCATATTCGTTATCATTTTCGACCTTTCAATTTCAGCATTTACTTGCCCCATATTCTACCACTTCATCTCTTTGCCTCATGCCTCATGTTAGTCCATGTTATTGGTTCTCAAATTCGAGTGGGAATGGTCGTGTTGCAGATGATGACAAAAGTGAGGACGACGTCACCACAGACGACGACATTGATGAAAATCAAGAGTTAGATTCTGTAGCTAAGGTAGTCAGAAGGAGGTCATTGGAGACCCGTTCTGTGCTGGATGTCGGAAGGAACGGCGAAGAGGCTCAGTCCTCAAGTGGCAGTGAAATGTCAATTGGTGCTGCAAGTGCAAGTGATGAGGTTGGAAATGGAATTCAAATCCAACAGGCTTCAAATGGGGCTAACCTGCAACGTCCTGAGCGCAAGAGATCATCTAGAACCAGGAGTTCTCGCGATGCACTTGAAGACAGCACCGAGGTTAACAACACATACGAACCCATCAACACAGAAGACCATCGATCACAGAATTTGACTAATACAGAGAATTACCGTTCTCAAAAATATATTGACACAGAAGAGTATAGATCTCAGCAAGAGCATGACTCTTCCACCGACTCTGGTCTGTCTCAGGCCTCCCAGAAATTAAGAGCGAGGCCGAAGATGAAGACTCGCAGAGCTCAACGACTTCAAGAAAGTGATGAAGAGGAAAGAGAGGAGTTGGTGCAACAATCAGAAGATTCAAATACCCAGATGCCTGAACCTCGTTTTAGAAGACTAGTACGTATCCACTTGAGCTATTCGAGATGTTCTCATATCTGTTCGCCTTTAATATTGCTTTTCAGTTAAGACGTTTAAAAATTCTTCTTCTTCTTCTTCTTCTTCTTCTCATTATTATTATTAATTTTATTAATTTTTTGGATTGAACACAGGTACGCAAACAACAGGTGGAAAGCGATGACGATCAGGCTCAGCTAACTCAACAGACCGCTGAGACTGCCATGGAAATCTTGAAGCCTGTCGTTACTAGAAAGGTATCTTGAATAATGTGCTTTTCATGAGTCAATTGCACATGGTGGACCTCTTGCTTCTCACTCTTAACTTCTGGAACCTATCAGCAGAGGCACTGTATTAAAAATAAGTCCCAACTTGGGAATAGTTCTCTTCTTTCACTTAAAGTGGCAGATATTTTGTTCTCAAGACTTGAGTTCTGGTCCCTTTGCCCCCTAAGTTTAACGCTGGTCCTTTCTTTTTGTTGCAACACATCAAGTCCTTTCACCTAATTGTACGTCCTTCGATCTTGCGGATTGCGGTGAAACAATAAATTTTCTCAGGTTCACTGCAAGAATCTGGAATATTTTATTAGTTGCATTTGAGTTTTATGATCAGCTGGTGGGTCGTCTCACATTTGAGTTCATTTTCAGACTTGGAAACAGTCTGCGCAAGCCTCAGAAGCTGACGACTCAGAGAACAACTCACAAGACTCACGCGCACGTTCCACAAGGTCGCAACATCAGAGTGTCGCATCAAAGAAGCCCCAAACAACGAGGAGGAGACGGTAATTTACGCGAAATGAAACTTTCAGGAATTTCTCTTAATCGTTCGTTGAACTTCATCCAAGTTCTGGCACGACTACAATTGTAGACACTTAAGGTTTATATGATGAGGCCATTTTTAGAATCTGGGCTGTAGATATCACAACGGTTTACTCATCTTGCAAAAGCCAGTTGATATTTATTGGATTGCTCTCGATTGCGCAGGTCTCCTTTGGAAGAGCTTAGCTGATTGAAATTTCCACTTCACTTCAATCACAGACCTGATAGTTTGCGTAGCAAGTATGTCGAGATTATAAGCAGTAGGATTTCATCTGTAATTGTAGTCAGCGTTTGAGAATTTTCTTTTGTTGATTGCTTTCAATTGCAGTTAGTGTGCTTTCCCGTGATTATTGGGATAGGATGGATAGCATACGCCATTCATGTAGTTTCTGCGACTCCTTGTCGCTTCTATGTTTGTACACTAATTTCCCTGCTCTGTACAGCACGGTTGGTTTATCAACCTCAAAAGCACGTGTTCACTCGAGGAATGTGTCCTTTTTGTGGAAAATGAGCGCACTATGCATGATGTCAATTATTGTGGAAAATGAGCGCACTATGCAAGATGTCAATGGTGCCTAAACTGGTGATATGATAAACTTGGTGAGGATAATCGTTTGTGGCTGCGATTAGAACACCAGCGTTTCTTCTAAGCTTTTCAGTTTTTTTAAGTAGTGGTGATGAATTTGGATGAATTTGTTTATCCAAGGTGGACATTTTTTTCTGTCGAGAAGCATTTTTCTATTAGCAGTAAAAAAGCAGTGAATGCTGTCTTGATTTTTTCCTTAACAAAGAAAACAATCAACATTCTGCTTTCTTCAATGGATTTCATTGGTGATTAAAAAGGTAGTTTTTGGTGATTATATCTACAAAAATCGGTACTTTTAGTGAAGTTGAAGATAATATAATCAAAAGTTTTGGGATTGTGTTGGCTAAAACTTGAATGAAGAAACCTAGATTTATAAAGTAGAAACTTTCATCCTTACTTCAATAAGAATTAAGTAATAAAAGAAGAAACTTTGATGTAAAAAATTGCACTTGTAAGATATACACTTGAATGTCCAAGTCAATAAAAAAATATTGCAAAGCTCATTTAATTATCAAAAGTTAATATTTACAAAGAGATTTGTAATAAAGACAAAATGTATTTAGAAGACCAAAAGAGTTGAATTATGAACTTTGTTGCTCATTGCTAATAAATATATGAGCTTTAAGTTTTATAGAATAAATAATGTGTATGTATCATAGTTTAACATGTAATATCTTTAATTTCACTCTACAATAGTGGTGAGCAACTTTCCAAGTTGTAAAACAAATAGTATGCAGGAAAGTGTCAATGTTCTAAAAATTTTGTAAGTACATTACCACAATTAATTCTAAATGCATTGTAAGGTGGATTTACAAATTCTTCTTAATATAGGCTAGTATACTAAAGGTTTGCTTGTCCTCTACTAAAACCATGCCTTACAAACAAGCTATCTTTGTCAACTTAACAAACTCAAAGAGATTAAAGGACAACATAATATTCATAGTAATTACTTGCCAAAGTAAAACAAATAGATTTATCAATAAAGATTGAGCCATAATGGCTTGTGGATTTGCAATCATTGTCACCTTAAACATATCAACTTTATAATTTAGATGAGCCTAAGAAATTATTGGAGCAATAAAGAATTGAAAAATTAAACAAATAGAAATCATTTTATTGCAATTTGAAAAGTTTTGCTTGATGACCTTCAAATGTATACAAAAAAATAAATGCAAATATTTAGAAATTGTAGTTAATATTAGAGGTAGACAATGTATCATAGACATGAATTGGAAAAGATGCATAAGCTTGTGAAATTTGTATAAAAAAAAAAGTGACAAAATAGAAATATAGTAATATGTATATTGAAAAGAAATTGGAATGACTATTGCCAAAAGATAACGAAACTAGAGACTTTTGAATCTAAACTAGAAGCAAGAAAGGAATTGATAAGAGTGAAGAAGACTTCACTCTTGCCTTTATCTATACTATTTAACTAGGAGCTATATAGTAATGTTCTATAGGACTTTTAATATATGTTGACTTTGCAGGACACATGCTTTATCTTACAAGACAAGTTTTCTATGTGTGCGCCACATAGTTAGCTTGTTCTTCAAGCTATCAACATGTGTGGTACATGGTTAACTTATTGACCATGTTTTTAACCTAAAAAGTCAATTATAGACACCTATAAAATCAAAGTAGCATCTATGAAGCTTTTAAGAAGCTTCTATAGAAGATATTATGGAATTAACTTATTTTTACTTACTTTTATCTAATCATATAGGTAATTATTGATTTACATGTATATGCCTGTGACATTACCTCTCTACTAGGGACAAGTTCTATGAAGAGCGGTCATCATGTGTTGAGGAAATCCAAGATGCGGCAAATTATATTTACCACATACTCTATTCTTGTTTTTTTTGAAGATGGTTGATAAAGCCTCTCAACCATTGATAGTGTCCTATATTAGAGTGGAAAGACTACCCAATTATTTGATTGTTGTTGAGACGTTTTCAATTTCCTTCAAATAAAACATTTGGAATACCATTAGGAGTTGTTCCTAACTCTAGTAAAATCACCAAACATTAAGAGTACTATTCGAAGGTCGTAATACCAAATGCATTATAACTTGCCATCTATTCAAAGAAGAACATGTCAATCTTGAGGATCTTCATCTTAATTGCATTGTCTTGAAGGTTGTGACAATTGTAATATTTCATCCGGCAAGTTAGCAAATGAAGGCTCTTAAGTCAAATCCACTAGTTGTTGATTCTCCATCTCTTTAGTGTCACAAATATAAAGTAGCTACAATAAGCATAAAAAATAGAATGTTATCTTACCTAAAACTTTTTCTTTTATAAGAAGGGTCTTTATTTTGGTTTTGATCGATGTCATTGATGAATAGCTGTTAGGGACATAATCCTTAGAACCTTCTAGAGACAAGTTTCTAAAACCTTCTAGAAGCAAGTCTCTGGAACCTTCTAGAAGCTTCTTAGTTGGTAGAAGATATTAGAGACATAGTCCTTAGAACCTTCTAGAGATAAGTTTCTAAAACCTTCTAGAAGCAAGTCTCTAGAACCTTCTAAAAGCTTCCTAGTTAGTAGAAGTTGCTTGAGAAGCTTCCTAAATAGAAGTATATATTGGAATCAAGGCTGAAGAATTCTTCAGTCTCAACAACACATCTCTTGGAGCTCTAGCTCACGTCTTTGGTGTTGTTCTCATCTGATTAATCTAATTCTTGCCAATTCTTCTTGAACTTCTTGTTAGATCTCGAGTCTGTATTTTTGTTTCCGTGACAATTTGTCGAGATTGCACTTACCTCAGATATCAGAGCTAGTTTCTTCTTTGTTAGAATGTGGATTACCCCTCTGCTTGGAAGTGTACTAGCATTTTAGAGGTTGCGGATTACCCTCCTCTAAACTGATACTTCTTTTGTTACAATATTGGAGTATTATTCTTCTTGGAGAGAGTGGATTACCCCTTTTCTTGAAGCTCTTAAGGCATTTTAGAGGTTGTGGAGTACCCTCTTCTAAATCAATATTGTCTTCTTGTAGAGTCATTTCTGTCCTTCTCTTAGAATGGTCGGGGGCCAAGACATTAGTATAACAAAAAGTTTGGAGTCCAAGTTGGATGCTATCATGAATGCCCTCGCTATGTTATTGCAAAGAACTGCAGAGATTGAAGGAGTCGCGGCAAGGCTTCATAATGATGGATCATCTGGGATTGCACAATCTAGGTTGCACCAGCCTCAAACTTCTGCACTTGGAGAAGCAACTTTGCCTCAGGTTCAAGAAGCACCGCTGGTTCTACAACATAAAGAGCCCCGAGTTAGCCTTTCGGACAAGTTCGATGGTACGCGTTCCAAGTTTCAAGGATTCGTCAACCAAATTAGGTTGATAACAATTTTACAGCCCAAACGCTATCCAACGGAGGAGTCACGTATTGGGCTTATTAGAACCTTACTTATAGGACAAGCTCTATCATGGTTTGCTCCTTTGTTTGAGAAACGATCGTCCATACTAAACAACTTTGAAACATTTTTGGAAGCGTTTGCGGAAGCATTTGGTGAACACGACAAGGTTTGATGGGCTACAACAAAGATCCGGTCACTACGATAAGGGATGCACTCTACATCACTCTATGCATCGGACTTCAAGCAATTAGCATGTGACATCAATTAGGATGAAGAAGCATTGATGAGTCAATTCTATTGGGATTTAAGAGACGATGTGAAGGATTTGCTGTTAACTCTTCCTGATCTACAAATGCTCAACGAAGCTATTAGCCAAGCTGTGAAGTGCGATAACCGCCTATTTCAACGCCGCCAAGACCAACGTTCAAGACAACATATGATTCACCATGCCCCAACTATGTCGGCAAGCAGCGTGAATTCACATTCAGAGATACAAGACATGTAAATTGATGCGGTACGTGTCAAATCCATTACTCTAGAAGAAAAAAAGCAGCGTATGGAAGAAGGTCTATGCTTGTATTGTGGTGAAGAAGGCCACAAAGTTGGAAACTACCGCAAGAAGCAAAATCAATGTATTGTCAAGACTAGGGGCGCATTTATTCAAGAAAATGAGGATGCCCAGCCACAATAGGAACCGTGCGACTGGACAGTGAAATATCGTAACAACAACCAGGTTATTTTCTTTCTGCTCAACTTGCCCTTTGTTTTACAATCTCTTTGCTTATTGGCCCTCAAAAACTGAGAACCTTAGCATTATTAGATTCAGGAGCATCTGCTTGTTTCTTAGACGAAGAATTTGCGAAGCATCATAAGATCCCTTTAGTACAAAAATCCAAACCTGTTCACGTTGAGGTCATAGATGGGGGACCTTTATTGTCTGGTAGTGTCACCCATGAATCAGAACCTATAGAAGTGACGTTTAAGGGCCATAGTAGTCATATTATTTTCAATATTATTAGAACCTCATCAAATCCTATTATTCTTGGTCTTTCCTGGTTGGAAAAGCATAATCCATCTATAGATTGGAAGTTGCGGAAGATGATCTTTCCCACTAAACCACCCAAGAGCAAGCCTAGTAGAAAACCCCGAATAGAAAAATCCTTATTTATTGGAACAAGAGTGTTTATGAGATCGTCCAAGGAAGGCACACCATTTGTCATTTATGCGGCTCCAACTACAGGGGAGAAGATCTCGACAACAAGTATATTGGAGCAATATAAGGATTTTAAAAACGTGTTTCAAAAGAAAAATGCCAACATGCTACCGGAACACAGACCATATGATTGCGTCATGGACTTACAAGAAGGAGCACAACTGCCTTTTGGCCCAATCTACAATCTATCACAGACGGAGTTGGCACAGTTGCGGAAGTACATTGACAAGAATCTAGCCAAGAACTTCATCCGTCATTCAAAATCGTCAACTGGAGCACCCATCTTATTTGTGAAGAAGAAAGTTGGCTCATTGCGGATGTGTGTGG